AAATACAGTGGATCTTTAAGCGGACAAAACTCATAGAGGCCTCATTTTATTTTAAAATGTGATATTTTTATTGTTACACTGTCATTAATAGCCGTTTTTGTAATGCAAAAAAGTAATTTGACATATAAATGACATATTCTGTTAATCGTAGATGACAAACTGATGTAAGATTCACAAGGGGGCTTCTTACCCCAAATAGGCGGGCTCGCCCTGTAAAGATTTTTTTTGGTGCTATAAAAGCAAAGTTACTGCTATTTCAATTTATTTCCTCTAACTGTGTGCATGTTTGTACATCATCATCCTGTATGTGCTAAACTCATGTACAGAAATGGTTTAGCTTCACAGCACTTGGACATTGTTCTTAAGGCGGGCACTTCCCCCATTGTCCCTTATTTCTTAATAAAGTGTTTTTAAAGGCTTTTTCCAATAAAGTATTCTGGAATGTTTGAGGCAATTTCTATTCTTCAATTTTAGTCCCTGATTACTTGATGAATATTTAAAATGTTTAGATTACTTGATTAACAATACAATTGACAGTGACAGTCCAAGTGTGTTCCTGTCATTGAATTAGGGATCATGTATCTGGGGCAATTGTACATTGCCCACATTCTTAAGTCAAATGGGAAGTGCCCCAATTGGGACCCTTTGTTACACAATATCCAGACATCTCAACTGTTTTATTTCCCAGAAAAGAGAGACTCAGGGCTGCATTATTTGCTGGCCATGTGTTGTTTTTGCTAAGGGTGATGTATCTAATCACTCTAAAAATTAATACAACTAACTTAGAGACTGTTTCAAAATACTTATTGTCTAATTTAGTTTTTCTTAGCATTAATTTGCCAAGTCAGGTTTGTCTCCTTATAACTTTTGTTCTGGTAGGTCATGGTTTCTCCTTTGTTGTAGGTAGAGAATAACCAAATCTCCTTTAATTGCTTTGTTCTGATCTCTGTAAGCCAAAATAAGTAATGCTTGTTATTTCCAAAAAAGTTAAGACAGTTGGCAATTAAAACTGAAAGCTGTGATCTATATATGTACTTTGACCTGTATTTGAACAAAACCAGTACAAAGACAAGATTTTTAGTGTTTTAACTTATCAACTTAATTGTTTTTTGTTAAATATACACTCATATGTTCCAAAAAGCATGGAACAGAGGCAATTTAAAACTAGAAAGGCATTTCAAAAAAGGTTCAAAAAGGCTGGAAAAGTAAGTGGTACTAAAGAAAAACAGCAGGATGAGCAATTTGCAATTAACTCACATGACTGGGTATAAAAAGAGCATTTTAGAGAGGCAGGGTCTCTCAGAAGCAAAGATGGTCAGAGGTTCACCAATCTGTGAAAAACTGCATCTAAAAATAAAATGGTGGAACAATTTTAGAAAAATATTCCTCAATGTAAAATTGTGAAGACTTTGGATATCCCACCATCTACAGTACATAATATCATCAAAAAAATCAGAGAATCTGGAGAAATCCCTGTACACAAAGGACAAGGCCTACAGTCAGTATTGGATGCTTGCGATCTTCGGGCCCTCAGATGGCACTGCATTAAAAACAGGCATGATTCTGTACTGGAAATCACTTCATGGGCTCAGGAACACTTCCAGAAATCATTGTCTATGAACACAGTTCACCGTACAATCCACAAATGCAAGTAAAAGCTGTATCATGCAAAGAAGAAGCCATATGTCAACACGATCCAGCTCATTTCCAGATCACAAGCTCCTTTAAAATGGACTGAGGCAAAATGGAAAATTGTTCTGTGATCAGATGAATCAAAATGGAGAAGGACCATCCAGCTTGTTATCAGCGCATAGTTCAAAAGCCTGCATCTCTGATGGTATGGGGTTGCATTGGTGCCTATGACGTGGCCAGCTTACACATCTGGAAGGGCACTGTCAATGCTGAACAGTATATAGACGATTTAGAACAACATATGCTTCCAACCAGACAATGTCTCTTTAGGGAAGACCTATTTCAGCAAGACCACATACTCCATCCATCACAGCAGCATAGCTTCATAGAAGCAAGAGTCTAGGTGCTGAACTGGCCTGCTTGCAATTCAGAACCTCCACCAATAGAAAACATTTGTCGCATCATGAAACGAAAAATCTGGCAAAGAAGACCCTGGACTGTTGAGCAGCTAGATTCCTACATCAGACAAGAATGGGACAACATTCATCTCCCAAAACTCCAGCAATTGGTCTCCTCACTTCCCAGACGTTTACAGACTGTTGTTAAAAGAAGAGGGGATGCTATACAATGGTAGACATGGCCCTGTCCCAACTTTTCGAGATGCATTGCTGCCATCAAGTTCTAAATGAGGTAATATTTTTAATGAAATGGTAAAATGTGAGATTATCATCATCTATGAGATTTGCATATCATTGTGTTCTGTTTTTATTACATTTATTTACATTTTACACAGCGTCCCAACGTTTTTAGAATTGGGGTTGTAAAAAAAAATAATAATAAAAAAGAAAAAAAGAAAAAACAGGGTCTGTCATGTTATGGGGGGTAATATTGGGAAACCTACACATCTGTGAAAGCACAATTAACACTGAACACATTTTGGAGCAATATATGCTGCCTTTTAGACACAATCTTTTTCAGGGACATCCATGCTTATTTCAACATGGCAACACCAAGCCACATTCTGCACGTGTTACAGTACCATGGCTGCGTAATCAGAGAGTATGGGTGCTAGACTGTAGTCTATGACTGTCTTCCATTGAAAACGTGTGTCTTACTAAGCTCAAAATACGACAGCAAAGCCCTGCACAGTTGCACTGCTGAGGACTTGTATAACATACTAATGGCAAAAAATTCCACTTTCAAAACTGGATCAGTTGGTGTCTTCGGTCACAAAATGACTACTAAATGTTGTTAAAAGAAAACGTGATGTAACACAGTGGTAAAGATGCTCCTGTCCCAAATGTTTTGGAATGTGTTGCAGGCATCATATTTAGAATGAGTGTATATTTACAAAAAACAACAAAGTTCATAAGGTAAACCATCAAATACTGTGTTTTTGTACCATTTTCCATTTAACACAGGCCAAACACAATTTATTAATCACTGCTTTCTGTTTTTTTAACATTCACCGTACTGTCCCAACCTTTCTGGAATTAGGATTGTAAGAATGAAGTTCCAAAATTATTTGGGAAGCACATACCCCAGCTTTTAGGTGTTGTCATGTGAGTAAGTCTGACGTATGTTTCCTGTTCTCTAACAGAAAGTGGAGCTGCCAGACAGCCCTCGCTCAACCTTCTTGTTGGCCTTCAGTCCCGACAGGTCAGAGTTCTGTCTAATGTACAATGCTTGATAGAGAGACAGAAGAGAGCAACTGAGAGACAGACAGACTACCCTAAGGAAACAGGAGTCTAACAGAAAGAGACAGGCAGACAGCAGGAATTTCCCTTGGAGAAAACAGACAGACTGCAGGAATCAACACAGAGAGACAGGTAGACGACAGGAATCTGTCATAATAGCAGGAGCTGCTTGCACCAGTTACTTGTGCTTTTTGTATCTAGGCCCTGAGTTGATTTTTCTCCCCATCAAATTTACCCTGTGCACTATGTGCATTAACATTTCTGGAAAATATGTTTCAAGGAAAGTTATTACAGATTGTAGTCCATTTGTTTCACTGCAAGATTTGTTAGCCTTTCTTCATCCCATTTTTCAATGGTCAGGACCCCCACAGAACTATCACTGAGCATGGCTATGTTGCCTGCTACTATAGTGGATCAGACACAGCAGTCCTGCTGGAGATTTTTAACACTGTGTATTTATTGTCCACTCTATTAGACGCACCTACCTCGTTAGTCCAGCATATAGATGTGAAATTAGGCATTGCAACTCATCTGTTGCTGCACAGTTTGTGTTAGTCATTCTGTTGTCTTTCATCAGTGGTCAGTCCTGACCACAGAATGATGTGGGCTGGATATTTTTGGTTTGCGGACTGTCTTCAGCCCAGCAGATACACTGATTTGTTTAAAATTTCTAGCAGCACTGCTCTATGTGCAACACACACACACACACACACACACACAAACACACACATACTAAAGCTGGGTGTATGCTACATGACTTTTAAAATCCTAATCAATGTTGAAAATGGAGAGCATCACACATTTAACCTCAATCATCACCTTTTTTAATCTTTCCTAGTTCTCTCATTGGCTGTTGCTTAAATCAGTTGTTTAATAACTTGTCTGACCATCTCACACCACAGGACTGTTGAACATTTTGAGTCATGAAAATAAAATATATTTGAATATATTGGGAAACCTTCAATCACTCCAGAGCTTGATTCAAAGGCTAAAAATTGAATGGTTCCCCTCTCACACTACCAACAGATCTGTGTAATCACCTGCTCCAGACCAAGCTCCTGACCTGAAATTGCTTCAGGTTGTGAAAATTGGTTGGAATGGGCAAACAAGTGTCAAAATCAGGGTAAATATCATGTAGTGTAGGCCCAGCTTAACATACCACTACCATATCAGTAGGCCTGGGCAATATCTAAAACTAAATAGTACAATATTTTGCAGTTAAAAGTTGATTAGCGGTTATATTGACCACCAAAAAACATTTGTCCTCACCCAACACATGCAGTCCACTGCAGTTTTGACCTAGTTTATATTCTAATTTTTAGTTTATACATATTTTTAATATGAACTGGTTTTAATGGAAATCTTTAATAAAAATCACATGTATAATAATATAATATGGAGTAACCCAGTATTTTATGAAAACTGCTTCACCTGTCATTTTTTTAGTGGATGTTACTGTAAACATGCCTTTGTGAGTTTCAACTGGTGCAGATTTGTGACGGCTTTCCCTGCTTCAGACTACTAAGCCATGCCCACGTTTGCTTTACATATTAAAAGATGAGGCATTTTCCGTCCTTGTAGAGGAGTCACTCTGGAGTTTAGCTATAGATGCCTTTGGAAAACCATGTATTATTATACTACTCACAGTTTTCATAAGTCGTATACTGCAAATTTGCTGTAATTATGGAAAATACTGCAAATTTTCCTCAGATAGTAAATCACACACAGCAGAGACAGAGGAGAATTTACCATAGGCCCTATAGCTTCTTAAATCTCTCTCGCTTTCTCTCTCTCTCTCTCCCCCTCTCTCTCTCTCTCTCTCTCTCTCTCTCTCTCTCTCTCTCTCTCTCTCTCTCTCTCTCTCTTTCTCTTTCTCTTTCTCTCGCCTTCCCTCCTGTGGATGTCCTGACTATTTATGAACAGGGTTCTGAAAGGCTCACAGTTTAAACACAGGGACAGATGGGCTACAATCAAAGTACATATGGTAGGCATACTTAACGAAGTGCACAGTGAATAATAGAAGGTTATTATTTAATCAAAGTACAATTCACTTGGCTAGCTGTGTTCACTGAGGTAAGCAACAGCATTAGTTGTACCTTCTAAGAATATGTTAGCAACAGCAACTATAAAGCTTTACATCACATATATTACAAAATACTTTTAAAAAGACTTAAAAGGACTTCTGCATTTAAAAGGCAATTTCATTAATTTATTTTTTTATTATTTTTATTTTTAAAAATATTTTGGTTATTTTTTATTTTTTATGTATTTATTTAGATAAGATACTATATTGTCATTGCACAGAGTACAACGGAATTGGGCAGGAATCCTAACGGTGCATTAACAAAAAAAAAAACATTAAACTAGGAATAGAAGAAAAGTATAAGCTAATATAAAATGCAAGATATTTAAAGGAAAAGACTATGTAATTTAAAATTATAAAGAAAATGACATTAACAAAAAAATATAGCAGCTATGATATTGCACATGAGGGTATTGCACATTTGTGGATGGTAGTGATTCTAAATAAATACATATAAAAGTGCCAATGAATGTAAACATCTTTTAATAGTCCTTGTGTATATTTTGGATGAGTGCAGGTATACGCTCAGTTTCTGCGCTTTTAGTGCCTGGATGGCAGTGTACAGTGTCAGTGTTGGGCAGTGTTCAGTTCTCTTATTGCACTAGGGTAGAAGCTGTTTTTAAGTCCGTAATGTGATGGATGTGTAGCGTGTGCCTGAGGGTAACAGATAATGACCAGGATAGGATGGGTCTTTCAGTATGTTAGCTGCCCTGCTGAGGCAGCGGGACCTGAAAACCTCCTCCAAGATGGGCAGTGGGCAGTTGATGATCTACTGGGCTGTGGTGATGACACTCTGAAGGGCTCTCCTGTCCGCCGCTGAGATGCTGGTGTACCATGTGGAGATGCAAAATGTTAGCATGCTTTCAATGGAGCAGCAGTAGTAAGACACCAGAAGCTTAACTTGCAGGTTGTTTTTCCTAATGATTCTGAGAAAGTAGAGTCACTGCTATGTCTTTTTAACTAGTGCCGTGGTGTTGGTGGTCCAGGAGAGATCTTCAGCAATGTGTGTGTCCAGGTACCTGAATTCATGTACCCTTTCTACACATTCCCCTTTGATGTATAACAGGTCTGGTTTTGTAAAGTACTTTCTGAAATGTGTGATGAGTTCTTTAGTTTTTGAGGAGTTCAGGGCAAGATTGTTCTCTGAACATCACAGAGCCAGTCCTTGGACTTCATCTCTGTACGCTGGCCTGTCTCCACCATAGATAAGTCTAATCACAGTCACGTCATCTGCGAATTTGATTATAGTGCTGGTGGGATGGGTCTGGGCACAGTCGTGGGTGTAGAGGCCATAGAGAAGGGGGCTCAACATGCAGCCCTGTGGTGCACCTGTGGTGAGTGTGATGGTAGTGGAGAGGTGGGGGCCAAGTCTAACAATCTGGATACAATTAGACAAAAAGTCCACGAAGCAAGCAAACAAACAATTCAATTTCTCTGTCAGTGAGGCATCTCCTTCGGCGGCTGTGCGGTTGCTGTGACTTGTGGTCTGTGACGTGCTGTATACCCTGCCACACCCGCCTTGGGTCGTTGTTGGTGAAGTGATCCCACGATTTTCCTCTTTGGCCTCCCTAATGCCTCTCTTCAGGTTGGTCCTGGCAGTGCTGTATAAAGCTTTGTCCTCAGACCTGAAGGCAATTTTATGGACCTTGAGGAGCATTTTGACCTCCATTGTTATCTGGGGCTTTTGGTTTGGGTACACCCGGGTGTGTTTTTGGACTGTGATATTGTCCACAGTCCACGCAGTTCTGTATGTAGCAGAGTACAGTTGGTGTGTACTCCTCTAGGTCTTGATCTTCAAAGATGTCCCAATTAGTTCTTTCAAAGCAGTCTTACAGCTGCAAGGAAGCTCCATCAGGCCATGAAAGAGAAGTCTTTGTAGCCAGTTGAGCTTTTCTGCTGAGGGGGGTGTATGCTGGGGTTAGGAATAATTAGTAGTGATCAGACTGGCCTAGTTGAGGGGGTAATGTTGTTGTAAATCCGTTCTTGAAGTTTGAATAGACTTTGTCCAGAGTATTTTTCCTCTTGTAACTCTTTTGATGTGAATTTTGGGAGAACTGCCTTTAATCTGAATGATTAAAATTTCATATTGGCTGCTTCAGGATAGATATGCTGTTGTGAGTCAATAGCACTGAGCAGGGAGCTTAATGGTATGGTAACGTTAGCATCCGGTGGAATATAGACAACCGTAACTATAACAATGGTGAACTCACGCAGAAGGTAAAAGGGTCTGCATTTAACTGTTAGGTACTCCAGGTCAGAAGAACAGTGTCTGTCTATGATTGTGGTATTAGTACACCAGTTATTATGTATGTAAATGCAAAGCCCCCCTCATTTGCTCTTACCAGAGTCTTTGTTTCTGTTTCCTGCTATTTTTTAATTAAATATTTAAAATGTTAACGAAGTCATGAGAGTGTTTACTGTAAAACACACCACTCTTGAGAAATTTACAGAATCAGTGTTGCTGATAGGAACCACATGTCCAAGGCGTTTCATGCCTCTAAATACTACCTTTCAGCAAGCCATAAAATGGTGGCACATATGTTATATATGATTCATTGAATGCTTGTAATGTTGTTTTAACTTAGTTTTAAGATCGAATTTTGACCTAAATTGTTTTAAAGCTAGTTTTGGTAGAGAGTTGGGCTGTTAGGATCATGACATATTAGCTGAGGATTAATTGTCAAATAAATAGTTGTGATTAACTATTTAATTGTTTTGCAACTATGTTTACTTAGTAGCTAACACTAGTGGCATACTCACACAGATGTCTACAGTTAAGCTACATGTTCATTGAGAGTGAAAATATATGCAAAAAAAACCTTATTCTGATAGCAAACATGCTAAAACGTTAGAATTACATAGCTAACAAATCAACAAACGTTACTTTCCTCTAAACCTTTTAGAGTTAGAAGTTAAAATGTCATTTTTTTTCACAATGAATGCACTAACTACATTTGTTTGCTTCATGTATAAAACAATTTATATTTTGTTTGTTGCAGTGTAACATGACCGTGAAATCTAATGACTGTCGAAAACAACTGCAGCCAGCTTTGATAATTGCAGTCTTCTGAAATAATTGCAAATAGTCGATTTTGTAATAACTGTGACAGGCCTAGCAGGGAGGCATTATAAAGCAGGACTTAGAGAGGCACAGGTGTCAATCCAGCGCTGTCTTACTCTTTGCAGGACCCTTATGGCCTCCACCCATGTCAACCACAACATCTACATCACAGAGGTGAAAACGGGAAAGTGTGTGCACTCTCTTGTCGGTCACCGGCGCACTCCGTGGTGCCTGACCTTCCACCCTACCATCCCTGGCCTCATTGCCTCAGGCTGCCTAGACGGGGAGGTTCGAATCTGGGACCTGCATGTATGTTTTCTTAAGTTGGATTCTACACCATCGCATTACAAAAATACATGTTCTTGTTCTGTGGGATTTTATATATTTTAGTTCTGAATATATTCCTATATGCTTCCTATAGCACTTCATAATATATTGTTTGTTATTCAAATTGGAGGAGGCTCGAAAATCACCAAGTTGTTTAATGTGTGCTTTGACCATTCTGACAAACATTTTTTGATTAGTTTTTGTGGGTGTTTTGACATATCAAACATCATCTGAAAGGAAACCAAATGCTGGCTTATTAAAATGTCAGAAAAATCAAAACAGTATACACCTGTGGTGCTAGAGTTTGGAAATTAGTTTATTATTAACATCATGTATATGAAAATTAAGTCTGTTCAGTTAGTTATAAAAAAAAGTCGTTGCAGATTCATACTAGTCAGTCTTTATATATGTTTATTTAGGGTTAGGATTTATTTATCAAACATATATTTACATTATTACTCCTTTAAAGGAGAACATAGGAGGATCTGTAGAGGTAACATCCAGCTTTGCGTTTTTTGAGACATGCCCATGTTTCTTTACAATGTGTTGAATTGCTGTACTCTTCGCTTTGTATATTACCGGCCACAACTAAAAAGGACTTTTTTACTCTGCCTTGGTGAGAGCGTAAAATCTGTTTTTATTAGTTACTTTAGAAGCAGCCTTAATAGTTACTTTAGTTTACTTTTTTAACCAACCACACCCTGGGATAAACCCACTGACCAAAGGGGTCTTTGGATCATTCACGTTTCTTCCAAAAGTACAATCCACGTCAAAGATTTGCCACATCCTGTGCATTTGATTATGAGATCTTTTTTTTTAATATGGATTGGACGACAGCTGGTAACATAGACTAGCTGTTGACATAGTGTCCCTCCTGTTTTTTTCCCAAACTTTTCCACCTTCACATCCAAAAAATCTACAAAAATTAAATCTAGTGTGTTAATGTTAAATGAAGGTATCCAACAAATGTATTTCGGTCAGAAAATGCAGGTCAGTCTGTTATATCAAAGCTTAAGAATTGTATTTTTTTTTAACAATTGCAAGGCATATTGTAATTGCAATAAAATGTCACAGTAATAAAATGCCAAAATATGATATTTCGTCCTATATTTTTGTCCGATATTTCCAGACACTATTTTGATTATCACTGTTTGGGTTTTTGATGTATTATTTTGATGCTTTTTTCTGTTATCTGTATGTTTTTGGCTGCTCAGGGAGGCAGTGAGAGCTGGTTTACAGAGAGTAACATAGCCATTGCATCGCTGGCGTTCCACCCCACGGCTCAGCTTCTCCTCATTGCCACCAACAATGAGTTGCACTTCTGGGACTGGAGCCGCAGAGAGCCATTTGCTGCCTTGAAAACTGCCAGCGAAACCGAGAGAGTCAGGTCAGTGTTTGCACCACAGTCTCTGCTGAAAGAGTCAGAGGGGGATTCCAGGGTTAGAGTTGTGGGTTGTAAATAATACATAGCAACAACTGCCGAATTTCTTTAAATAACAAAGGTGGAGACTCCTAAATGGTGCAGTTGTTTAAAAGGGTTGCATCCTACTGCTGGAGTATAGGCCGCAGCTACTCTTAAGCTGGGAAAAGTGGCTTAGTTCCTCTGGTTAATACTGTACAATAGGGAAAACTTAGACAGCCGGCAGAAATTGTGACTTACACTGAGGGAGAAAATTGGGGAATTACAGTTGTCTTTACCTTTCTAAGTGCATCTGACCATAGTGGATATTTGTTTGCGATTACTGTTTTATATTTAATTCTGTTACATTTAGATGTTTTTTTTCATTTAACAGTTCTGTCTAATTAAATGAGTAGCTTTCTACCCGTTTTCACAATAAATGCCACCGCGTACCAGACACACCACATAGCGTCACGCAACTTTGTGTGGCATCACATAGCAGATACAGTACAAAGTGCAGCTGTACCACTTGTGTCACAGTAACAGCGCTGATAAACATCAAGCTCAAGTTTATTTTTACACTTTCCTCATTTAGATTTAAGGAAATAAATTTTCAGTGTCATTTATCAAATTTGGTATGAACTTACTACCTCTTCACAAACTCGCTGTTTCTAAGCTGAAAGATACCAGGTTGAAAATAAGACTAGGCTAGTAACGTTAGCTGAGGTAACAGATCATTAGCATTTGTTTATCTAAAAGACTGAGTGTCTTTCTCTGTGTAGATTTCAAGCTACATGTACTTGTACATCTACTCTGACTTTCTGTGGTCCTGATATGGCTTCTGTTTAACACAGTAATGGCAAAATGCTGAGTGGCGCACTGTGATATGCAGAGAATTTGAACAATGTACAAGAGCCATGTGTGCGTACCTTTACTAAAAAAACAATGGTTTTAAATTTTTGGATGCTGCATAACTGGTGTGCAATTTGCTCAAGTATATCACTCCACTGAGCACTGGTGCTAAGTAATAATGCTGCAGCTAATGGTTACTAATTTTGTGCTTTAGCGTATACCAAAACAGAAATTACTATTTGGTTACCTTTGTAAGATGTCATTTCACCTGAATCTTTTGTGGTCATATTCTAAGAAATTAATGTGACAGCAGGCCCGCGTCAAATTCTGGACCTGTTGTTGCCCCTAAGCAAGCTTTTCACAACTAAACATGCAGGGCTTGTGTTATTGTGAATAACATCATGGCTGTGATGATCTGCTGTATTTGCCTTTCGCTTGTGCCTAGAGATGAATCGTACCTGAAATATTATTCATGAAAATACAGTTCCTGTCATGTTCTGCTGCTTAAATTATATAATGATTACTTTGGCCATATACTAAAGATGAAGGGTCTTGGTTTAAACTGTGGGTACTGGTGGTAGGTCAAAGGGACACAATATTTTTACATTTTCATTAAGAACACATATGCCTGGTGTTTGCATGTACAGCCTTCTGGTTTCTAAAGGTTTAATCTTATTTTCCAAGTTTCACATTTAGTTGTCATTTGCACAAAATGTCAGGACATTCATGCATTGAAATGCTTGTGGTGAGGCACAGGTAATCACTCTACAGCAGGGCAGCATTATATACATACTAAAAACAGTGCGGACAAAACAAAGTAAAAATACAAAAGAAGATACTAAAGAAAATACTACAACTGAAATATTAATTGACTGCATTAGAGGCTCACAGTGCTTTATTTTGTCATTTTCTTTTTCTCAGTAATTTGGGTGGAAGGTATAATGGGCAAAGGGTACAGTGATTGACGAAAATGGCAATGCATTTAGTTAAAATATTTCAACTTTATTCAGCCACATTCTTGATAAACTTGCAAGGTGAGGTGAGAGAGGTTCTACAGTAGTGACTAGGGATGCATCGATATATATATACTGGAATTGGGTGTCAAGCCAATACTGCGCTCGTTTGCTTGTACTCATAAATAATGCTCCTGTACCAACATACAGATACGTGCTGTGATGTAAGCCAAGTGTACAAGCGCTGCGCTAATGAACAAATGCAGTGAAGGAGGCTCTGCTCACACAGAGTTACTCACTCTGTGACAGTCGGACAATAAAATCCATTGGTTACTTTAAACCAAAAAAGTCGAGATTTCTTACCAAAGTCCATATATACAGACATTACTCTGTTTGACTGAGCACAATAGCGAAATACAAACGTTAATATTGTGATTTTTTTGTAAAACAGGCTGTAGAGAGACCGTATTGTCCTACCCTTGTACATCACTGCCTGGCTTTAGCTTCAGTGCACAGTGTTAGCAGCGCTGCCCAGTTTGTCTTTGGTACTCGGCGCACAGTGAGTTATTTTAAATGAAACAGCTTTATTTGTAATTGTCCATAGACAGAGCTGTCTGAAGAGGCTGCGTTTCACGTATAAATCATAGGCTTTGTCTGTACACAATGGTCTATTCAAATGTACAGTGTAAGTCAGCAAAGAGCAAGATTTCAAAAATCGCACCGAGTGTGCCTGACTTGAGAAGACATTCAGCTATAGTTCAACTAGCCAATCCAAACACTCCCAACAAGACGTAAAATTTGAAGCATGAGATCCACGGCTGCATTAGCCTCGGATGTGATTTCTGCTGTCAGTGTACTATAGAGACTGCTATTGGAAGAGACAGGTGAGGAGCAAAACTATGACTTGTACTTTACCTACAGCTATAAAGAAGTGCTTTTCTGCCCATTCTTCTCCGCTGCAGTCGTGCTTGATCTAAGGTAACTAATGTAGTATAGCTGGCTAATGCACTTAATTTAAAATCAGTTACATGTTCATTATTTAATTTTTAAGGTACGTTGCATTCATTTACACTACTAACTACTTAATTATAAGTAGGTTACTCAGTATAGTATCACACTCGGTATTGGTGCTTACTAAAAATATGTACTCATATTCGGTCTGACAAAAATGGTATCAATGCATTCGTTGAATAGCTTATTGAATGTATTCTTCTATCTGTGAGCACTTCGCTGACTAGCATTTCTTGGTGCTTGTCTTGTAGGTTGGTGAGATTTGATCCATTGGGCCACTATCTTCTGACTGCTATTGTGAACCCTTCAACCCAGCAGGTAGGTATTATGGTTAAACTAACAACTCTGGTTTTCAGATTCAGTTTCAGTCCCTCTGGCACTGTACACAGGGTCTCTTCTACTAAGGAGTAGATTGGGCAGGCTGCCAGACCATTTTTGTTAACTGAAAGTAAAATGATGACTATAGAACAGATGATCAGGTCAAAGTGGGGCTGTGAGGAAAGTATAAAGCATGAACTGTTGAAAGTGGGCACATAAAAGTAAAGTGATAAATGCTCCAATAAATAAAATCTTGTTGAATTTAAATACAGTTGTTTTTTCCTAATACAAATTGTGTGTACTAGTAAACAAGGCCATTTTACACTTACTGTATGCAAGTTCTCATGATATTGCACTCATGAAGTGCATGAAATTGAATAGAAATTTACACAGACTTTTATGAGAATGGTGGAGAGAGGGGTTTGCTTACCTGCCAAATGACATATGTGTTGGTCTTGGGGCTAACTACCAGGAGGAACGCACGTCATAGTCTCAACAGCGAAAGGAGAAAACTCCCTGTACCTCCGTTACCTATGTCTGTGCTAGAAGGACATTTACACATCACATTAAACAGGGAGTAGCAACTCAAAGTATGAATATCCCATTGTGTATATGAAAAATTGCTCAGCTTCTCTGCCAAATTAATGACATTTGTTATTTTTGGCAAACTGTCTGTGGCGAGATGCCCCAGTATCCACTGTAAAGCTGATCACGCTGCAGTATTACTGAGTCCATTGCAAGTTATCTCTTTTCCCCTCATTCTACTACAATCCTTTAGATACTGTATAAATTAAAATTGAGATTTCTTTAATAGGAACTCATCAACTATTGTAATCTCAAGTAGACTGGACTGCTTTCACAGTCATACTTGTCAATTTGAAAGCACTTTAATGGCATACCATAGCACTGTCACTTCAGAATAATGATAAATAATAGAAAAAGCAAGAGGTGTGAAGTTTTTATTTCAGTTATTTCACGTTTTTCCATGTAGAAACTTTTTGTTTCTGTTTTATGTGGATTTGCTGTGAAAAGGTAATGCTTTGAATTTACCTGATTCAGGTGTATATTTTCACATGAATCAAACATATTACATCAATATAATTTTGCCAAATGTAAGTGAACTGAAACACAGCATTGTGTTCATGTATTTTATTAGTGTGGAAAGAATGTACAATTGAATCGGGTAAATTTAATGCAATTTTCTTCATAGAAGTAGTTGTTCTTAGGACTGTTTTGCGTTTCTGTGTATACAGCAGAGCGATGATGATGCAGAGATTCCGATGGACAGTGTAGAGCTACCACATTTCCGGCAGCGTTCCTTCCTGCAGGCTCAACCTGTAAGACGTACCCCCATACTGCACAACTTCCTTCATATCCTCTCATCACGGAACCAGTCCCCTCAGGCAACAGACCTTCCCTCTGCAATCCCTCCTGACAGCATCGATTCGCCTTCTGGTCGTTATACAGCTGTGAGGGAACGCACTAGGGCACCATACCATGGTTGTGTCCAGCACCTGGGCATGGCCTGCTACTGCAGCCGCTGTTCCGCTGCAAGGTTGTCCTCACCACCAGATGAAGATCCTGCAGACTCTGACTCTCTGGACGGCCAGTCGCACGCCTCCACCTTTTCCTCCGCACGCACTGAGCCACGGCCAACACGGTTACCGAATGAGCCCCGCTCAAGTAATAGGCCCTCAGCATTTAGCAGCGTGTATGCGCGAGGAGGCTCTATGCGAACACTGTCCTCTGCTTCTGGGAGGAGGACTGCAACCACACTGGGCAGAGTCGGTGAAACAGATTGGATGGGCGGCATGATGAGTGGGTATGGTGTGCTGCCCCCCAGGACTAGCGCCTCCTCCATCAGTCTATTATCTGTTCTCCGCCAGCAAGAGAGTGCCAGCCAATCAAGTGTTTACACTTCTGCCTCTGAGAACAGGGGCTTCCCTGCGTCAGAGAGCTGGGCTCATAGTAGCAGTAGTGCATCTGGAACTAGGCCAAGGTCTAGCATGCATCACCCTCTAGGGGAAAGTGGTCGCACAAGCCCTAGATCTATTCGAAATGCACTTCAGTGTAACTTGAGCCGCTACTTTCTGGAGTATGAGCACATGCAAGACTTGCAGCCGCTAAGTAGGGATGGCGGTAGTCAGGAGGAGCAGACACAAGAACTTCTGAATAACAACATGGACCATGAACGTCCAGGGTCATCTCAGTATGACCCTCTTCAACCAAGGGAAAACACCCTTGAGCAACCTGGCCCATCTCAATATCAGTCCCCTCATGGTGGGGAGGGTGCTTCTCACGGCCACCTTAATCGATGCAGGGTCTGCTACAACCTCTTCACCTACAACCAGGGCACACAGCGCTGGGAGCGCACTCGGCAAGCACAGCCTAGCCAGGAGGAGAGTCTGTCTTGGCGATCCCCAAGCCCTACCTTCCACAGTGTGACTTCACCAGCTCACCCTGAACCCAATTCCACCATAGTGATGGAGCCTAACATCGATGTCCCAGGGCCTGACTCAGCTTTCGCTCACATTACAAGACCTGTATCAGCCTTTCCACGTGGCGTGGCCTCTGGCCTGCACAGTGAGCAGACAGTGGGGCTGGTCTATAACCAGGAAACTGGCCAATGGGAGCGCGTTTACAGGCAGTCTGCCACCCCTCGCTCTGAGAGCGTATCACAAGATGCCTTAAACCAGGACATGCCTGAAGACACACCTGATGATGACTACCTACGCAGGTGAGGGAGCATGCATTTGATAGTGCAACATACCACCAACATAGTATATATTTAGAATCACATTGTAGTATCAGCTGTAACAATTGACAAAATTCATCATTCGAAATTAGAAATAAGGATTGTCTGAAAATTTGCCTTAATTTATTAGTGTAATGTTTACATTTGCTGTTATTAGAGCATTTAGCATTATAAAAGTACAGTATTTGAAGCAAAAACTGCTTTAGTGTCCTTATCTAATGCTCTAGCCACAGACTAATATCTTAAACCTAAGTTAACATGCTGAGCTTAACTTTTAGGTGCCGAATGCCATACCAAGTGCATAAAATGGAGTTTAAAAACAAAAAAATTGAGTTAGCTCACAATAAGGATGCAGAAGTTGTATGGAATAGAATATTTTCATGGATGTGATGCTTGTTATGTATCAGTACCGCTAAAAGAATGACATCAATACCAATATACTGTTATTGATGATGTATCAGTACAATCGATCTGGTACTTTGAAGTGTTTAATAAACTGCATTTTTGCAATATACTTCTGTACTAGTTTTTGGTTTGATATGTCTCTCTTCTTTACATATTTGGAAATGGTCAAGCAGTTGCTCTTCCTATTTTCTTGGACAATGGTTGTCATAGTTTTTCATCTTTGTGCTTGTTTAGTTCTAGAAGAAAGTGATGTAACTTATATGCGGAATGTGTTACTCTTAGCATAAAATTAGAGACCTGATTTGTTGATAGATACTTATGCCTCCCTCTGGATATGAAGAAATTAAGTCATTATTAGATTATCACATTTGCTTGTAAATTTTCCTACAATGCCCACTACCTTCCACAAGGAGGAGTGTTATTCCATGTTATGTGTCTAGTCTCACAGCTTTCCAAAAATCAGCATCCATGACAATCTCACTTTTTTCCATTGCTTTCTGCTCCATCTGTCTATCATTACCAGTAGAGCACTGCACTGAACTTACACATTTACTAGGTATGAATGCTAAACTTGTTAAAAGGTTCATTATTGTTTTTACACCCTTAGTACAAAATTGTCAAGTCTATTTTTGGCTATGTTGATGTGTATGTTGAAAGGGACTATGTAAATGGCTGTAGTTCTTGCTGCATAAATCTATCATAAATTAAGTCACTGATTTCCTTTTGTTTAGCTTGATTGTCATTTACCAGCTGCTCTACTTAATGAATTATGCATGTGCGTATTGATATGTTTAATGTGATACTTCATTTACATAAGCTTTTTTATAAAATAATTATTATATTTTTTAAGAAAACTCTTTGCTTTACGAAAGATCAGACCCATATCCTGAGAGCATTCTGTTTTGTTTGGATATCTGTAGGGATAGCAGTAAAATAACATACAACAATTTATAGTCATATTGCGATGTTGAGAAAAGTTAAGTAAGGTTAACGTTGACCTGATTTAATTTGATCATGCCTATTTACATTTGCTGGAAAATGTCTCGATTCACTGAAACTTATGTGGAACATTTGGTATTGTTCAGGTTACTCACAACACTCAATGAAAAATTTTGTGATTTATTACATTGCTCATTTCCATGTGTCAGCCTTTTGTAATATCAAGCCAATATTGCAATAACAAATAACAAATGATATAATTGTGTAGCTCTAGATGGCAGTCCTATTTCCTTGGTCCACTCAGCCTGTCTGTGCTGCTGTATTGTGGTGTATAATGACAGTGCTTCTCAGTCGACTCCTGGGGCACCCAGCTATTTTGCATTTATGCTTTGTTCAAGGTCAGGATTACACCTAGAATAGAACAGTACTGTGCTATGCTTTTTTAAGGGTTCACAGACAACATGTGTTTCAGAAGCCTATTTGTTTCTTTATTTGTCTCTTCGTGCAGTTTATTGGTACATCTGATGAAGATGCCTGTCACGCTCTGTAAAAGTCAAAGAACAAAAAGTGGATAAATTTGAGTCAGAATCAATATGTCATGTTTTGTTGGGAGTGAAAGGGCAGAGAGTTGCATTTTAATGAAGAGCTCTGCACACCCCCACACTGCTCTGCAACACGCACAGTACAGTACCCTAAAGCACCTATGTACACACAGTTGCTCTCATATCAGTGCTTAAAGCACTTTGAATGCAGTGTGTAAAGGCAAAGTCAGCTGTTTCTAAACTCGTTCTACAAACACATTGCTAAATTCACAGAATATGCCTAAACTACTTTCACTGCGTGCTTATCTGTTTTTTCAGCCCGTTCTGGCAAAATGTGAACAAGACATTGCTGCTTGAGCTGCAGCAGACGATAATGGCCATACTAATCTTGTGGAGATTAATGAGTCTTTTAATAATAGCTCAGATAGATAGTTCCCTGTCGGTGAACACAGAACTGTGTCTTTGTGGCTGTGATTGTTCTATAAAAAAAGAGTCCTTTTTTGTTTGAAACTCCAAACATTCATATCTGTTAGCCTGTAAATATATAATATTTTTTATGTGTTTGTTTGCTTTTGCTTTATAGGAGACTGCTGGAGTCTTCTATCATGTCCCTGTCTCGAAATGACCTTGTTGGATCTCGAGACCACCCCATCTACCCTGACCCTGCAAGGTTGGTCTTAAAAACACTATATAGAACCTCTTATATGTAACATACTGAAAAGTGGAAACATAGCCTGCATTTCATTTTAGGTGGAGCTTGGTTGCAGGTTTGAGGGGCCAGCTAAGAAGGATTATGTATGAGAGAAATTGCTGTAGTAAGAATAACAATCACCAGCCACCAGCTCTATCTATCTATATATATATATATATATATATATATATATATAGATATATATAAAACAAATATTACAGCACCAGGTGTAGATGTCTGCGGTCTGGGGCAAATGGTTAAAGACCATCTTGTCTTTTTTTGCAGTACTGAAAAATCCTTTCTTTACCATTGCCAACTGTACAACTTTAGCTGGCTACCTAGGTAAATATTACTCTATGCCAAGTTCTTAATTGTGGGAAGTTATAGCCTCTGCTGAAAATTTATGCTAGCCTAAGGAGTGCTTTGTGAGTCTGTTTCATTTGTTTGAGTTGATCCTACATTAAGATGAATTACATTTTGAAAATTTTCTGGTGGATCCAAATCTTTATTACACACTTCTATAAGCTAAGAATAATGCATTGAGTTTGTGTTGTATTCCATGAACAATTAGCTTTAGGATGTTATAAATTTGGATTTTTTTAATGGGTTAACCCTTAGAAGTCACAATTACAGGAGCTGATAACAGCAGAAAAAAATTATCGATACAGAATACAAAACTCTAAACTTACACATCATTATGAGTTTTCTCTGGCTGTGTACTGCAACTATGTCCAGTACAGGATTCAGTAAATACTTTGTGTTTTGTGTGCATGTGTGTGTGTCTGTAGGTTATCCCCTGCAGCGTATTATGCCCAACGTATGATCCAGTATCTGTCTCGACGTGACAGCATTCGACAGCACTCTCTTCGCTACCCTAACAGACTTCGTCCACCGATCACTAACCCAGATGGCCCTGCCCCTAACCCAGCCCCCAACCCACCCCCCAATATGGATACTGAGGTTGACTTTGAGGAGTTTGAGTGAGTAAATATATACAAATTCTTGTTTTTTCCAAAGCGGTTCCCTGGTTCTTAAAACATTCCTAAAATGCTGTTGATTTTTTCCAGACTGTGGCTTGTTTGAAAAGATCTGCGGTGCATTAATCATCCTATATATATATATTTTTTTTGCCTTTTTTTGGGGGGCTGCATACCCCTCCCTTCGAACAGAGCTTTTAATTAGTTCGCTAACATTAGTTTTTTTGCTGGCTAACTTTAGTATGAAGTGAGTAAAAACTCATTAAGATCTTTCTCAGATCTTCCATGTCCATACTGTTTATGTAGAAAGCCTAAATTCTAAAGGCAAGATGTTTTTCAACAATATAGTGGAGGAACTGCTGGGTTAACAATATGATTGCAAGTGGATGTCTACGAAAGTTTAACGTTAGTTTGCTGGAGATTGAAATATGTGGTTTAGTTAAGAGGTTCCCAAATTAGGTTTTGCTTAGGCCCGGGCAATGCTAGAACCAGGTGTCAATTTCTGGCAGTTTGATTGCAGCTCTTTAGTCATTTTTGACCTCTTTACCCAGTTTTCTCCAATCCCCACCAGCTAGGTAGGAGTCACCTCAGTACAAATCTGGGAAGGTAAAGGATGACACATGCTTTCTCTGTGACATGAAATGCCATCCACTGTTTACTCAGCATGATTGCATTGAAGGGAGAGTGGGGATAAGACCATTTTTTCATGCAGAAAACTGGGCCAATTATACTCTCTTGGACTTCGAGCTATGGGATTTGAACTAACAATTACAAACATTCCAAAACTGATCACAACACATGAATGAAAACTCAATATATTGGTAGCATGTTCATGTTATGACCAAAACTGTGTAAAATGATACAAAGAATTGCAACATAATAGAGTAACTGTTACTATCCAAAATCTTCAGAATGCTGAATTTGTATCTAAAACTCCTTAGTTAGCCATTTTCATAAGGAGTAAGGTTTTTCTTGTTGTCAGAATTTGAAGAACAATGTTTTTGGTTAAAATATTAAATACATTTTTAATAAAATACAGTGAAATAACAGTAAAAACAAACTTAATTTTTAATGAATGAGTATGTTTCAAGAAAATGTGAACATTCACTTAAAACCCCACAAAACCAAATCCTTAATTAAATATCACTCAAGAAATCAGCAAATTCTGGTAATTCTAGAATTACTGTCACTGGCATAGCTGTAGTGAGCATCAGTACAGTACCAGTGAAAGTGAGAATCACCAAAAAGCTGTAAAACTTCACAAATAAGAAATATTTTTTGACCTCAAACCGTTTTTCTTCCTTTTTTGTCAGTGAATGTTTATTGTTTTTTTTCCGACAACAAAACACACGCATTCAGAGTCCCTGTGATACACGGAAACACAAATACAGTAGTGACTAATCACTCTCGCTCTGCAAAGCCTTGACATAAGCAATAGCATTTGAACAATTCTGAATTGTTGCAGCCTTTGCCTTGGCCCGCTCCAAAATGAGAATATCTACAAAACAGAATGCCAGTTTGAATATAGCTGAATATCTGGTGCAAGCTTTCTTCCAAAATAGACTTTTTGGAAGATGTTAAAGCTGCCAATAGAACTCTTTTTTTTTGCTGTGAATTAAGACTTATGTTAAACCTGAACATAAAGGAATATCAACATTTAGGAGATCAGACAGTGTTTGTACTACTTGGTTCCAAACATACATAATATGTGGCCATTACTAAAATATGTGCCAGAACATAAGAATGCTACCCCTAACAGAGCAACGTCCCCAAGTGATTTAATATGCTGTAAGAATGCTGGACATATTTTGGATCTTTTTTTAATTCCAAACAAAATTTATACACATCTTATCAATATCTTAAAAAAATTGGGGGAGGAGACACAGGTATCATTGAAAATAGACATCCTGTCAGCAAGAGAAATCTGTAATGGTGACCATCTCTCAAGGTCTTTCTTGAGCTTATCTAACAGGTAAGTCAAGTTGTGTTTGCAAATGAAGCTGAAAGTAGGGGGAATTTTAACCCCTAAATTAGTGAAACCAGAGGACTGCACCTGTATTGGTAAAAAAACCCTGGAAGGTTGAGTTTATCAGAGGCAGTCCTGAGAGGCATTAAGATGGACCCGGTTTATTTTGTAACCCAAAAATACCCAAAATCTGTTGAATACAGACAGAGCATGCAGTATTGAGTTATTACTCTCTGAAAGAAAAAAGAATAATGTTGTCAGCATAAAATGAAATGTGATGAGCAGAGTTATTTATATGTACAGTTATTTATACGTATAGGTGAGTTTTGTCTAATTGTCTGAGCTAAAGGTTCTAGAGAAGCAAGAAAAACTTGGTGAAAAACGGCATCCTTATCTCATTCCCCTCTCAAGAGAGAACTACAAAGAGATCATATAAACTGTAGAAACGCCTGCTGTTTGGTTACTATAGATAGTTTGCATTGTATTAATAAAAGAAGCCCCAAATCCAAATCGTTTTAGCATAGGTCACAAGCAACACCACTTAAATCTATCAAAAGCTTTCATGGCGTTTAAACTAAACCATGCATTGAGGCTATTGGTATCTCTACTGCCAGTGTCAATTATATGCAGTAGGCGCCTGACATTGTCTGAGGCTAGCCTGCCTTTAACAAGGCCAGTCTGATCATGATGTACTAGATCTGATAGACATGACTCTCTTTAAAAGATTCTTTGAATACATCTTAATGTCAGCGTTTAACAAGGACAAGGGCCTGTAGCTTCCACAGTCCAATGGGTCCTTGCCATTCTTCAGCAACAATGAGATCAGAGCTGCCCTCTGATCCTTGTGAAAATGACCAACTTTCAGTGAGTAGTGATTAGAGTTCAATAACAATGGACCAATTAAATATCAAAGTTCTGAAGATATACCATCTAATCCTGGGCACTTTTGCTCCTTCATAGAGGAGCAGCAAAATTCAGTTCCTCTAAGTAATTTGAGAATTTTGTTGTTTTGCCTCTATTATAGATACTGATGGGAGCTTTAAAGAATCCATGAATCTACTCATATCTGTTATATCACTGGGTGCTTCAGATTTGTGAAGTTCAGAGTAAAATTTACAGAAAACTTTATTCACCTGCAAGGGATGAGAATTATCAATCCTGGAAAATGATTCATGATATGAAGAAAAGAAAATTATAGTCTCTTACATATGGATTCAAAATACACCAAGCATCCACAATATTTAAATCCACCATTAATTAGAGTGGAAGAAGGGGTATTTCCAGCAGATCTATCTAAACTACCAACTGAAAGATTTATATCTGCATCTAAAACAATTGGGGTGTTACCTAAAGCTAACAGTTTACTTTTAATCTTATCAAAAAAGAGGAGGTCAGATTTAGTTGGGGCATATTCAGAAACTAGCAGTATTTAAATGCATTTAATGTAACTATAGCTTAACAAAATCTACCATTAGAAGCCCCACCCATTGCACCTAAGTGTAAGTTTAGTTTCTTATAAGCTGTAAGTAAAACTCCTTTTGTTTTATTGGGGGCACAGGGCTCTGTAATTATTATACAATAATAATATTAAACCTACGCACATTATGCAGTTTTAAATGAGTTTCTTGTATAGATGCAATATGAACCTTTTTCCTGCGCAAAAGATGAAGACATTACATTCTTTTTAACAGGTTTATTAGCACCATTAGCACCAAATTAATTGTTTGCTCCACCTTTTACCCTGTTTTTGTACTATAATACTTTATACTAACAATGTTTACTATCCGGTGTTGACCAGAGGAGGATGGGTTCCCCTTCTGAGTCTTGGTTCCTCTCAAGGTTTCTTCCTGTTTCTCTTAGGGAGTTTTTCCTTGCCACTGTCGCCACTGGCTTGCTCATGGGGGCTTGGACCCGGATTTCTTTTTGCAATGCTCATTTCCTTGTAAAGCTGCTTTGTGACAACACCTGTTGTAAAAAGCTCTATATAAATAAACTTTACTTACTTACTTGCTACTATGTACAAACCGGATTCCAAAAAAGTTGGGACACTAAACAAATTGTGAATAAAAACTGAATGCAATGATGTGGAGGTGCCAACATCTAATATTTTATTCAGAATAGAACACAAATCACAGATCAAAAGTTTAAACTGAGAGAATGTATCATTTTAAGGGAAAAATATGTTGTTTCAAAATTTCATGGCGTCAACAAATCCCCAAAAAGTTGGGACAAGTAGCAATAAGTGGCTGGAAAAAGGAAATTGAGCATATAACGAACAGCTGGAAGACCAATTAACACTAATTAGGTCAATTGACAACATGATTGGGTATAAAAAGAGCTTCTCAGAGTGTCAGTGTCTCTCTGAAGCCAAGATGGTAAGAGGATCACCAATTCCACCATTGTTGCGCAGAAAGATAGTGCAGCAATACCAGAATGGTGTTACCCGGCATAAAATAGCAAAGACTTTTAAGTTATCATCATCAACCGTGCATAACATCATCAAAAGATTCAAAGAATCTGGAACAATCGCTGTGCGTAAGGGTCAAGGCCGTAAAACTCTACTGGATGCTCGTGATCTCCGGGCCCTTAAACGTCACTGCACCTCAAACAGGAATGCCACTGTCAAGGAAATAACAGAATGGGCTCAGGAATACTTCCAGAAAGCATTGTCAGTGAACACAATCCACCGTGCCATCCGCCGTTGCTGAAACTCTACAGTGCAAAGAGGAAGCCATTTCTAAGCAAGCTCCACAAGCTCAGACGTTTGCACTGGGCCAGGGGTCTTTTAAAATGGAGTGTGGCAAAATGGAAGACTGTTCTGTGGTCAGATGAGTCACGATTTGAAGTTCTTTATGGAACACTGGGACGCCATGTCATCCGGACCAGAGAGGACAAGGATAACCCAAGTTGTTATCAACGCTCCGTTCAGAAGCCTGAAACTTGCATGAGTGCTTGTGGCATGGGCAGCTTGCATGTCTGGAAAGGCACCATTAATGCAGAGAACTATGTTCAGGTTCTAGAACAACATATGCTCCCA